CTGTTTCTATCCCCTAGAGAGCTAATGAGCTCTAAAAACCTCCACAGTATGCCCTGTTTGGTAACATATTTGTGGCTTAAGTCAGAAAACAATAGAGGAAGTCATTTATAAAATATTCAAATAAAAAACACAGGAAGAATCATTACAGCCTATATTTCTGCACATAGTTGAGGACTAACAGCCTGAAAGAAGCCATAGTGTTACCCTGACCCCTGAAGGAATCAGGAGTTAACTTCACATTCAATTTCCCACACAATATGAACATCAAACCTCCAAATCCACTGGCACAATAAATCAATGTGTGGGCAAGTCCTGCAGAAATAAGAAAGTCACCTCAAATATCAGATCTCAAAATTTCACTCCACAATTCCACCATTCTGGTTGGAGATGAACAAATCTTTTCAAAGTTACTCAGTGGGCATCTAGATCCTGCACCGAACTCCATAGGAATGTAAAGAAATGGACTATGAAAAATAAAGAAAAAAAACCCAGGAAGAATCTTCTCATCTCCCTGACAGAAAAGTCATTTATCCTTCTTTGTAAAACAAATGGAATGGGAAAGAGGAAATAGCACAACCAGATGATAAGATTCAATTGAACAGGGTTAAAATGTCAGCAGTTTCAATTTTTTGGTGAATATATGATCTATTGAGGGATACAGAGATCCTACAAGTATACAAATCCAAGATCAAAAGAAGCTGATGTGCATCTGCTTTTTAAATATTAGAGTACAAATAAAACATGACGAAAAATGAAATTTTCTTCTGCAGTATTCCCTCTTCTGTACAATGAGCACAGTACATTTACCTCATCTCATGGTAAAAGTCTCTGGGACTGCAACATGTCTTGTAAGGTATCCAGTAAAGAAAACTTGAAAATATATTGCTCTTTATTTCTGGTGTTTGTATCAATGATGAATTTGATGCCATTTTTAAAAAATTTAACGGGATATTTACCTTTAAAGGTTTTTACTTTTTTTTTTTTACCCAGAGAGTTAAAATGGCCCAGAAAGAGGTTGTCATGGAAAAGATAAAGGTACAAAGCACTCATTTCTGACATATAGGGGGAAACAATCATCATTTTTTATGAGGGAACCACCAGACTGAAATCTGCAACAAGCTTTACCAGAAAAAAAAAAAATTCAAGAGAGGACACTACATAGCCATTCCCTTCACAGGCTTCATTTCAATGGATTTAACTTTCCACTTAGTTGGGGTCACATTTCAATCATAAGAAAAAGAACTATGACCTTGGCTGGAATCAGCTCCAATTACTCAATGGGGCATTTGTGAAACACTGCGGACACATTTTGACTCTCCACGGGTGTGGCTAAAATTGCTTCTGTCCAGCTCTAAAGCTTACAAGATCTGCTATCCTTCAGAAACTATGAGAAAACTCATGCTAAATTCACTGAAGAGATCAAGGTTTACAGGACCCTTGGAGCTAATCTGTGTCTGCTGTCCTCCTTCAAAAGTTAGCAGGGTGATAGAGCCTCTCTCTATACAATCATTTCATCTCACTACCGTTGACTGAAGCTCACTGATGTAATGAAGTTACATAATCACCGATTATGCACGACTTCCATCCATCTTCCTACATATTCACATAGCTTCTCCGCTCCCCTTGGGATCAATCTACCAGGTGAGATTTAAAACACATGGAAAGGCTCCATTCTCCCATCATAGGTACTGAATATGGGACTTTAGCATTGCAGTACAGTGCACTGAACCACGTCATCAAAATAGATTTTTTAAATCCCATTTCCAGGGCAGAATATGCTTAAGCACCCTTAGTGTTCTAGTCTCTAACTTTTTATCAAAAGGATAAAATAGCAGATAGGGCTCATCTTCAATTTAAGGTTAAAGGAAGTGTGTAATTGCCTGCATCTCCCAAGCAGGCTGCATTGCAATAAACGGATCCTCTCTGCTTCCAGATCTTCGACTTCCTTGCACGTGGGTCACAGCTTCAGCTATTTAGGCTATCAGGTAAATGATTATATTGTTTCACAATTGAACTTGAAAAAGAAAGGACTATGGTCTCATTTAAGACAGTATCACCCTACTTGTCTCTATTTCGTCATCATTTTCAGCTTTTTCATTTCTTTTCTTTTCTTTTTTTACACTTCAAGTGATGATCCAATAGATAGAAAAGTAGTCCAGGGCACTTAATAATCTCCAATAACCACAACCTAGTGAACAATTAACAATGATTATCACATTAAAGTTTAGGAACTTGACAAGTGGGATGTCCCTGGTCCCATTGCGGCTGTGAAATGCAGCAGAATGCTGCACCGAGTTGAAAACATATTTCTTTTAATGAATAAAGAGTAGCTCGTTTCATTGGACCTGGGGCTTTTCACTAAGTGTTCCTTTTACTGCTGCTACCCCTCCAGAATGCAGGATCCCCAAATATTGCATCTAAACAAAGAATGTTTACCCAGAATTAATTCAAGACACTGTGCCACATCAAAATAATTTGGGGTAGAGACTGATGCTTTGATTTATTTTCAATTGAACTCAGAATTCAGGCACACATACATACACACACGCACACGCACACACACCAACACACCCAACTGCAGTTATTCCATTCAGTGCCAATACCGGCCACATCACAGCCATCAGTGCGATGCAGCAATCGTCCAAGTCACCCATTCCCACTCCAAACGCCCAAGTTTGCTCATGCCACTGAGGGGTTTGCATGTATAAAATGACCTTACCCACAACTGTCTTCCAAATTATTCTCCGCTGGATGTTAGTCGGTAAGGTAATTGCTGGTCATCACAATGCGTATTCAGAAAAATCCACGTTTTACTCCCGGGCTCTTTTTCTTCTTTTTGTTAGCAATTAATATTGTGAACAAGACGCCCATTCACAACTGCCAAGTTCACCATAAAAGCAGATAATTCCATACAGATCTTCCCCTAAAATACTGTCTCCAGTTAGTTCTCAAAGTGCCCGATTGTTTGGTGAAGATACAATCCAGGTGCAGAGCAGGGGATAAAAGACTGGGAGAAAAAAAAAAGAGGCAAATAGAAAGGAAGAGACTGAAAGAGGAGAGCACAGAAAAAAAGAGAGGGTAAATAATCTTTTAAGACAAAAAAAAGGAAGGAAAACGGCTGATAAGTGAGGAAGTCTGTGAGCTCTATGACAAGAATCGGAGTCTCACTTGCAAATCTTCTGGATACATGTAGCCTTTCAATTCCGCCTGGTCCCCAAGTAAAATTTCCAGATCCGGGATGCAGCCATAAGAAAGAATTCTATGTATATTTCACAAGTATCCCGCAATAACAGATCCGACGGGTTTTCCTTGTACAGTACTGCTATGTGAAAGCACACAACCCCTGCTGTTTGGGAAGGTGTCTCCTGGGTCCTAGCTCTCTTCAACAGCCCCCAAAAATGATTTTTCAAAAGGGGGGGGGAGACAGCTTTGCGTTTGTCTTGAATGATACTAATCCTGAGCAAAAACGACAAGCAAATCACGAATAGCAAGAGATCTTGATTTATAGCCCCATCCACTCAAAATATCCCAGGGATGGAGCAAAAACAAGAAAGAGGAACTGCAATGCATAAATGATTCCAGTGTTTCTACAAGATCGGTTCGTTTGATTGAATGCATTCTCTGGTTTGCTGCAAGTCATAAAAAGGATAGTATTACTGCCACCCAATGGATATTTTAGTACTAGCCAATCCACAGCCAGCCACCGCTTTGCGAGTTTTAGTTTTCAGAGGACGGAAGAGAACGGAGGGTAGCCTAGGAATCTTTTGGACAGTACCCTGGGAGTCCTCCAGTAACGTGATTCTGTCCTTCCAGGCAAAAGTGGGCCGACAAATGTGCATGCTTACCTAATATTGCGTTAGATACCCTAGAATTATGGTTCCATTTCTCTAGGAAGCAGAAAGGTACAGAAAGCGATGCCTAGACTGACACTTATAATACCTTTGCATTTCTTCTCTTTGAAGCGGATTTGTTATTGCGTGCGATCTCTCTCCCTCTCTCCCTCCCTCCTTTGCTCTCCCTCCTTCTCTCTCTCTCTCTCTCTCTCTCTCTCTCTCTCTCTCTCTC